GGAAGTACACGGTGACTGCCGGGAATGCCCACGGCCATGTGGAGTGCTCTGCTGAGCTCTATGTGGAGGAACCACGGCCATCTGCTGCCTCCCAGATGTAAGAGTCAGGGGTCTCCAGGATCTGCATCCCCTCTGGGATTTGGGGGAAAATGGGCTTGTGCAAAGCCTGAGGTTGGGGCTGGGCTGGGGGCACCATTTTCCCACCACAAGCACGTGTGGGCTTTTGCAGCTCCAAGCTGGAGAAGATGCCATCCATTCCAGAGGAGCCAGAGCAGGCAGAGACAGAGATAGAGTGCTTCACCATGCCCGATTTCCTGAAGCCGCTGCACAACCTCGATGTGGTGGAGTCCAAGGAGGCTGTGCTGGAGTGCCAGGTGGCCGGGATGCCCTACCCCTCCATCACTTGGTTCCACAACGGCTCCCGCATTGACAGCACGGATGACCGCAAGATGATGCAGTGTAGGGCTCCCCGCTGCCCTCCCCTCCCCCTTGGGGAAGGGGAGACACCCTGGGAGGAGGCAACACCCTCCAGACCTTCATGCCCTGTGAGGCAGGGAGTTCTGCACCGCTTGGCTAGTGGAGTCTTACCTGTGTCCCCCTGTCCCCCCACCAGATAAGGACGTCCATCGCCTGGTGTTCACAGCCGTCACCCACGCACACGCTGGTGTCTATAAAAGCGTCATTGCCAACAAAGTGGGGAAGGCCACGTGCTACGCACACCTCTATGTCACTGGTAAGCAGCAGTGAGCACCACCGGGGGATGTGCAGCCACTCGCTGCAGCCCTGCCGGGCTGGGGATCAGTGGCCCTGTAGCAAGGTCCTAGGATGACAGGATTCCAGGGCAGTTCAGGTTGGAGGGGACCTCAGGAGGTCTCTGATCCAACCTGAATGTGGGGTCAGCTGTGCAGTCCTCACCTTGCATGGTCAGGATCCATCTCTGGACCCCCAGGTCCCACACAAGACTGGCTGGCAGCATCAGCCCCACAGGGCCTGCCAGGCTGAGCCTCCACTGGGTCACTGGCCCCATCTGTCCCCTCCAGCCCACATCTCCTGGGGCGTAAGGCAGATGCCCCGAGGAGCTGCGGTTGTGGCCATGCTCACACCTCTGCCTGCTTCCCCATGCAGATGTGGTACCAACGCCTCCGGATGGACCTCCCACTGTGGCCTCAGTGACAGGCAGAGCCATCACACTGACCTGGAACAAGCCCAAGTGGCTGGACACTGCCATAGGTGAGGGGGCTGGGGCTGGGCAGGGGCTGAGCAGGGGGTGGGCAGGGAGTGGGTGATTCTGTGTGGGCAAGCACAGGCCAGCCTGATGCTGGGGACTCTGCAATGACCCTCTGCCCTTGCAGACCCTAAGTCCGTGACCTACGTGGTGCAAATGCAAGTGCTGGGTACAACACAGTGGCTGGTGCTGGTGGCTGGCGTGGGGAAAACCACTTACACAGTGTATGGGCTGACCAAGGGTGCCCAGTACCTCTTCCGTGTCATTACTGCCACCCCGAAGACCAACAGCAAGCCCTCCCCTCCTGTGGGGCCTGTGCAGCTTCTGGACCGGGGTGAGAGGGGCAGTGGGGAGGGAATGGGTAGCTGGGGTGGATGGGTCTCTGTCCCTGCTGGGGTGGTAAGTTGGGAAGGGCTGGGTGACGTGTGGTCTGGAAGTGGTGGTGATGATGCGGGGCCTCTTCCAGGTCCGTACCTGGAAGAGGCTCCAGTCATCCTGGACAAGCCAGATGTGGTGTACATGGTGGAGGGTCAGCCAGCCTCCATCACCATCACCATCAACCATGTGGAGGCCACTGTCACCTGGAAGAGGTAGGACATGGCGCTGTTTCCATTGCCTGCCCCATGCCCAGGATTACCCCATGGGGTGCACAAAGGGGCTTCTGCACCAGCTCCTTGTGCAGCCTGTGGTGGGTGGGGGGTCTTTCCCTGGGGCCAGGCTGGGCATGCAGGCAAGGCACATGTCCAGCACAGTGCAGAGCTTTATGGAGGTGGAGGCTTTTTTGGGGGAGGCGCTGGATGTGCGGTGTGAAGTGTTGAGAGCCGTTCAGGAGGCAGACCTAGCAATAGGATGTGAGCTGTTTGCAGGGGCTGCAGGGCAGGAGCCAGGGCTGTCTGTGGGTCAGGAGGTGACCATGGCGCTGAGGGGTGGGAGCTCTTGATAGGACTGGGGCTGCCTGTGGGGCTGTGATGTGGCAGCTGGTGTACCTGCAGGGGTGGGCAGGTGCTGGGAGAGAAGGAGGGCACCTGTGAAGTGACGATGCCGGACGACGACCAGCACTGCCTGCGACTGCTGCGCGTGGGCCGGGGGGCGGGGGGGGCGCTGGCGCGCGGGGGGAGGACCCCCCCGCCACGGCACTGCCTGCTGCACCCTGCGCCTCCGCCTCGCAGGTAGGTGCCCTCCTGCCCGGGAGATGTGTCCCTCTTCTGCGGGGTGGCACTGCCCTGTGTGCCATGGGGGGGAGTGTCATTGCCCCACAGGGTGGCACTGCTCCTCAGTGCTCCATACTTGTGTGTCATGGGGGTGCTGCTCTATAAGATGGTAATGCCCTGTGGAGCTGAAAACCCATGAACCATGTGTTGACACTGCTATCTGGTGTTCTATACCCATAGCTAAGTGTCCATGTGTAGTGGACACCAGTGCCCCATGCCCATGTGCCATGAATGGCACCACCCTACAGTGCCCCACACCAATGGTAAACTGCCCCACAGTGCTGCAGGCACATGCAATAAGTGTCCTGCCCTGTAGTGTCCTGCTCCCATGTGGCACTGTCCTATGGCGCTCCGTGCCCCTATAGTATGGGGTGGCACTTTCTCACTGTGCCCCACAGCCATACACCTTGTACCAGGGGCAGAAGGGTGGCACTGCCCCACAGTGCCCCATGCCTCATTTCTTGGCAGAGGCACCACGCTTTGAGTCCATCATGGAGGACATTGATGTCCAGGAAGGGGAGACGCCACGCTTCGCTGTGGTGGTCGAGGGAAAACCACTGCCAGACATCATGTGGTACAAGGTGGGCTGGGACCCCTCCACCCCCTCCCTGACCCACAGCCCCCCCCCGCCCCCCC